ACAATAGTAGCGGAATGACGCCCAACCCATCATTTAAACGAAAAGCTATATGATAAAGTGACTGTTAAGTACGAAGCATGTAGAAGTATAAACAGCAGAAATGTTGCAAGAAATACGATAGAAGAATTTTTCATGATGAAAACATCTACGAGCTGAAAGGAAATTGAGTGATCCTTGAGAAAAGCGCTTTATATGCGACATAGATTTCCTGTTTCATTCGTCAATATTCGAGTCGGAAATACAAACTGTTTTATAAGAGGTCGATATTGATTTGACATGAGCACATCATCGGATAGCCCACAATGTCTTCATGTTTAGTCAGTCTTCATAAATAGGGTGTGAAGATTTATAGAAACGTTTTCTGAAAGCCTTAACAAGTGACTTTGTGACAAATTGTACCTTTCCGGCAAACATTAAAACCTAAACGTAGTTTCACTAACTTTAAAATATAGAGCAAACACTTCTCATCAAAATGAGACATTTCCCAGCTGTGGATGATATTTTATTCAAAAATTATGAGGGTTTAACCAGAATCCCTAAAACATGCACCATAAACTCGTACAACCGTCTCTAGAGAGCAACGTCCATCTTCAACTGCAGCAGTTCTCCGTCGCGGAGGGCTAGGCTTAATGTTAAGGCTGCATCTCAGAAACGACGACGAACGTTCTGACAAACGTACCGCTAAACATCATAATCATTTTATTTATTAGAGGAATAACAGAACAAAGCTAAAAGAGAAAAATGCGGTAAGAATTTTAATAATAAAAAAGTTGAATAATTTTTTTACACGTATTCTCCATTAGCATGCGCACTCAGAAAAAAGGATAACGCGCAAGATGTATGACTTTCACCCTCAGTATTTTTCCAACAGACAGAATACTTCTTCTCGTCATTTTCCTTTGTTTATACGTACTTTTACACTTCACCGTCGAGTGTGCTTAAAGACTTTTTTCTTTTGTTTTGTCACTCATTTATAAAAGAGCACAACACGTTGAGTAAAGATGAATTATGTTCCGTGCGCTGAGTCAATGCTACAAAATTAAAACAAAATCTAAGAAACTCGCGTGTAAGAGAATTCTGATATCACAAATGAGTTTCCATGAACACCTCTAATTCCTTACTACTAACTCTTTCTTATCCGAATATATTGCGGATGGCATAACAAGTATTTTCATATAGATTTTTTGATACGCCATCTTGGCCACCGTACACTAATCCCTAATAAATTATTTGTGTATGGATACGTATCTACTCGTGACTTCGCATGAGTGCTATTCCTCGGAATACGTTTTTTAAAGACGGTAACTGGTTCTTTTGATTTTGTACATGTATTAATTGTTGACTGTAAAGTAAATCATTGTATCGACTATTTGGTTGTCGGCGGCGCGTACTCCTCCTACTTGCTGAGCTTGTATTACTTTCTCGACGCGAGGTCTCATCGCCGCTTTGTGATAATTCCGTAGATATGTCAGCACTTTCTTCATGATTGTGTCTTGAAGAGATACTCATTTTTCGACATGCATTTAACTCCGTCAATGCTGCATCGGTCGATGAGTTCATTGAGACACTAAATGAAATTTTCAATGCTTTTGATCGGTTTTTATGCAGTAGTAGAAAATAACCATACAAAGTTTTTCGCTTTTATACTAAGCAGAGTAAGATTTGTATCACATACTCACTTTAGCTGATCATCTTTAAGATCATAATAATCTTCTTTTGTTAACCTTTTTTCCAATTGTGATGCTACTACTAACCTAAAGTGTAAAGAGAATTTTAGTCATCAAGAACTTCTGTAGGTAAAAAGTCATGACGTACTTGCATTGACTAGTACGTTGTATTTTGGTTAATGATTGTTTTTTAGTAATTCTCCCAAAGTACACGCCTCTTGCGATCAGTACCAGTGATTCGACGAGCAGCAGTTTCTTCGTGTGGATTATGGTTCTCTGTACCTAAGGTTCTCACTTGAAAAATTCCATATCTGTGTTTTTCAGGTGGTTGTCGAAGAGTAACTGAGCAACATATATCGCACTCTTACAACATACAGGATGATGTGCCGTAGAAAAATGGTGCATTCTGTTTTTTTGAGTTTTTGACTTTCAGAGGACTATACTTAAATGTTAACGGGCAATTTACACCACTATGCAGTAACTTGCTATAAATCATTTTAGAGAGCGTAGACTTACTATAAATCCTTTCAGTTCGTGGCCGAGATTTTTAAAGAAACTTTACCAAGCTCCGTTATCAGAAACGATTTTTACCGGTACTCCGTGACGACAGATGACTTGGTTATGCAATTATAAAATTCCACCCATTTAGTGAAATAGTCAATAATGACTAAAATATAGTTGCTTCCCCTGAGAGTTTTAGGGAGTGGATCTGTGAGATCTGTTCCGAGCGTATGCCAGGGCATTTGCGCAATATGTGATCGCATTAAACCGGCCTTTTTTTCACTAGCAGCCTTAAAACGTTGATAAAGGTCTCAAGATCTTACATAGTTCGCTACGTCGCGCCTCATTCCTCCAAGTGAAAACGGTTTGATAGTATATGTAGAGTTTTACGGCAACCTGAATGACCTAACGCAGGATGATCGTGTGCGAGTTTTAGCAGATCTAGACGTTCAGAATGTGGGGTGACCAAAAGGCGGGACTAAAGCTGTTTTGCAAGGGAGATTCTTCATCAAATTTGTGGACTCTATAGAGTTTTCCATCGATGACTTTATGGTTTTGGACTTTCTGAAGGAGAATATCATCAGACGGAGAAACATCATCCTGAATGAAGTAAATTAAGGGGCCAGAATCCTTATCCTGTCGTTGTATGCCTTTATATCGTCTAAAATATTACAGCTATCCCAAATATTAACGGCTATCTCTTGATTTTCTTCGATAGGGTGGATTAAAATGCAATTTGGTTGAATAGCAGCTACTGTCTCGGTCTTTATTTGATATTCAAGATGTTGCTTGCGATAATAACAAAATGATAAAAGACTTCTAATTAATCAAATTAATTATTATTCAGCACTCCAGTCAGATAACCAATGACATTTGATTGTTCAACAAGTTAATTTGATAGAAAAATGAAACGAAATGCAAATTACTTAATAATATAATATATAAAGTCCATGTTTCTACGATAAAGTATAGCTATATAGTTAAAGCTCTTTTTCAAAAAAGAGTACTATTAAATTTTAATTGTGAGGGTTTCATGCTTAAACTTTCGTCTTAGTCAGTCTAAACCAATAATTGCTAAAGTGAGTATGTGATACAAATCTTACTCTGCTTAGTATAAAAGCGAAAAACTTTGTATGGTTATTTTCTGCTACTGCATAAAAACCGATCAAAAGCATTGAAAATTTCATTTAGTGTCTCAATGAACTCATCGACCGATGCAGCATGATACAGTAGTAATCAAAAGACAAAAATTGTACATGGAAATGATTTGATCTTTTTCTCATTTGTCTTGTTCTTCTTTTATCACGTTACTCTTGTAGCCGTTATCAATAATCAGATAACAATATTGATTTTCTTCTTATATAAGAACTATTTTTTTCTCAATATTTTGTCATGATATGTCTTTAGATTTGTTTTTCGACCAAAAGCGTATGAGAAAGCAGATTCTATCTCTACTCTTAGATCGTATCGTTGATTAACATTTCTTTTTTAGAAGGTTATATTTTGCATTATTTGCGAGAAAAGAACGAATTATAAACGTACAATTTATTCAGAAAAACACACTGTGTCCATACAATCTATTTCAAAATCTTACTAGAAACACTGATCAGAAAAACTTAAAGTTAATTTCGCCTGATTTTTGGAGACTAGCACCAGTAATCGGATGTTTTGGGCCAGAAAGCTAGACTATGATTTAGTCAAATGGATGTTCGTATAATCAACTTGGCGAGTTTCTTCTAATAGATGGCTTAAATTTGAATTTAGAGAAATTGCAGGCGTTAGTCAATGTTCTAGTATTTTACAAAAATTTCCATTCACATTCCTATCAAACGTTGACATATAAACTCTTTATCCTCCTCAAGTTTTGTCATCTATAACTGTGTCAAATATCATAGTTAAGTCATTACCTGCATAAAGGAAAGTCTTGCTCTCAATTCTTTTAAATAGGAAAGGAGTTTTATAAACAACTTATCCTGTTTTAGCAAAATATGTGTGTCCATATATTAATTATTAATAAACTAAAATAAAAATCGATCCATGAATATTTTTCCGGATATCGTAATGGCATCCCAAAAACGAATATTAATTCATCTGCATGGCATACACCCATCCAGCCACGACAATTTTCAATAAATGGAATAGTTGGTTTGTATGTTAAATGATATGAATAAACATTATGAAATCTTGATAAATTGGCATAGTTTTCAGCAAAGTAATATGTTGGACATGTTAAACGAAAATCACCTATAGATTTAGCAACAACATTTTTAAGTTTATCACTACTATTCTCATCGATATGAGATAAATAAAAATTCGATATAAGATTATTATCTATCTCAGTATAGTTAATTAATTTTTGAATTGTTTCTCTTGTTTTTTTTGTTTAGTAAAATTGAAATAATGATTATTCTTATTATCAAATAGATTTTTTAAATAAAATGATTCCTTCATCTTTAACAGTTCCGATTAATAAATCAATATTTTTATTTAGATTTCCTGTTTTAAATATATTTGGTAATGACATGGAAGGAATAAAATTATCCCATTTACTTGTATTTGAATAAACTGGAAAAAATTTATCATTATTTAATGTATAATTGACAATTATTTTTGGCTTAATATTTCTTAAACAATTTAACCATATAATATATTGAAAAAATATTTTACTCAACTGAATTAGTTTATCAATTAATGTGTTTCGGCGTTGATTACTGTAAATCAGTTGGTGATGAAAAATAAACAACTTCAACGATATGAATTAGTCAAATTCAACTATGAAAATGTTGAAAGTTTGTACAAATCGCTAGCGTCATATAACTCATCTCTTATCGAACACCAAACAAAGAAAATAGCTGCACAACAAGAGCCAAAAGCTGCAGAAATCAAATCAACATTACACTAATAATGCAACAGCTGTTCGGTTAAGTACTGCTATGCTCTAGGTATGCAACAGTTACAGTTATGGACGTAACCACCCACAAACCTATCCTCAAATGATACCAGTTTATAGACTGCGTGGAGTACCATGTATCTTCAAGAAACTTCGGCGGTCCTATGAATATTGGTGGAGTTATGAATTTTTTAACGTTGGACTTTGGTCAAAACTTTCGGTCTAGCGGCTGATTTTCGATATTGCATAAGTCATTCAGGAATAACGACAAACATTTGGTTCAAGTATTCTTAGACGCACAATTACTCATAGTTATTATGTGTGTAAAAAGGAAGAAAAAATTTCTGTCTAGCAGACTTTTTATAAATTTTTTCCCTAAAATTGATGCCATATCGCTGCAGTCTGGTCGTTTGCATGCTTTTTTTTCAACCCCTTTCGTTCAAATATGACGAATAATACATCATTTGAATCAATTACTCAAGAGCCACAAAATCCTATATTTTGTTTTTTAATTTGTCATGGAGGGGATATTCGAGATTTTTGCCCATATAATCTTTAATAACTTTTGAACAATGCACTTCGAAGGCTTGCGGTTTTCAGCGTTGCATAGAAGAGATAGTCAGCCACAAGATGACATAAAAATATCTTAGAACATACCACCTGAAGGTGGTATACTTTATTAGTCTTTGAAAGAAAGAATAGGTTGTGACTCTAAGATCTATCAGAGTGACCTCTGTGTTTCTCATACAAGTATGACAGCTTAATGGAGTGGGGGGGGGGGGGGGCGGGGGGCGGGGGGGGGGGGGGGGGGGGGGGGGG